GGACGTTTCGCATATACTGTTCTCACTGTTGAAACTATCATTCACATTTTCTTGCTGTTTCCAGTCCTCCAATATGGCATATCCTGGTTGGCTTGAAACTTCTGTTTCTTCATTTGTACTATTCTCCATCCCATTTTGTCTATTCTCTGTTCCTAGAAAGTAAATAGATATTCCAAAGCACTATAAAACATTTCATTTGTTTTAGCGTGGAGCACAGAAAACATAGAACTAACCCGTAATCATCATGCATGTAACAGCAAAACATATAGTCTTGACTAAAACATTATAGTTTGGAATTTTGATGGTTTTATAAATATTTATGAAGAAACTACTCTGCAATTAGAAATTAAAGAAATTAACAGATTTAATTCAAGATTTATTTTTATAAAGTTCTCAATTTCACTGAGTAGCTGTCTGCTAAACACATGTTTTACTGTAACAAATCACTGAGGAGCAACTTGTAGTGATACAATGTAGTACCAGTCTTCTCCTTCCATGGTACCCAATGAACCTGTTCTCAGTGTTTCCTGTCTACGATCTTCCTTACCTCAGTGAATGTTCCAGCAATCATACACCTAACGTATCTACACACATACAGGACCGTGCACACAGAAAATTACCTATTCTCTGGTAAGAGCAACACAATTTATGCTTTATGTATTATTCTGTACAGTTTCTTTTAGGGCCTGCATTGCCCATGATTACAGAGAAACTGTGGGAAAAATGCATTCATTCAATGCTCCATCAAACAACCAAATTAAACTTGTTTTACCCTATATGGTCTGCACTATACTGAAAATTCAGAAATACAACATTTGAAAAGAATTGAAAATAAAAACAATGAAAGGAATATTAGTAATTTGCATATTTGTGAAATACTTATTACTTTGTTTACCTTAATGATAGCAAAGTAATGAATACAAGAATTTAAGCCTGACAAAGATGTAACACAGAATGAAAATTAAGACCACAATAGCTGCCGAACTATTCCCAGCATCTGAGTTTCACTCAGGATGATCTTCTGAGACTCTAACTTGCTTGATCTTGTCCTGCAGGCTGGAACAGTCAACGATCTTTGAACTGCATACTCAAATCTGGCAGCTGCTTATTTGTGTCTGGCAGAATACAGGCTGATTCCTGTCCAAAACTGGAAGAGACACCTTCATGCCCCTCTTACCTCAATCTAAATGCATTGACCCACATGCAGCAACTAAAAGTAGAGAGACATAGTTCTGGTAAGCACCTCAAGACAGTAGGCTGAAGCTGCTAAATGGGAAATCTGTTATAAAACTTTAGTCTCAAAAAGCTTATAAAACATGTGGATCCCAGTAAAAAGGAGGGATATTCGGGGGTGGCTTCCTATTTTACATTTTAGAATCCAGGGGTGCACTGGGGTAATTTTACAACTAAATATATGCTACTGTCATTCTCATATTGCTTAGTAAGGATTTTTGGTGTTAAATAATTTGATTTTGAAATCCCTGGACAAGCAAAAGCATTAGTTTCAGTGTCACAGTGAAACCAACACAGTGGGAATCCTGCATTGTTTCTTAAATAACAGTACAAAAGAAAAGAGATATTAAAGAAATACACATGAGTACTAGTGAAACACGATAATTACCTCCTGTATTTCCACTTAAATCATCTGCAAGATCTCCATGCTCAGTTTCACGGAGAGCAATCAAAAAAGGAGAGAACCAATCTTTCTTCTGCACTATTCTGCTCAGTAGCTCCCTTGCACCATCTCTGTTCCCACGATTTTCAGTAACAGCGTGGATCTGGTGAAAACAAACAACTACAAAGTACTCATATAGTCTTTGGAAATGGTTCAGGGAAGTCGGTAAGAATAGTATAGGTACAAAAGCATTTCCCTGCCATCATTAAAACATACTCAAACATATAAAGTAGACCCATCACTCATCAGAAGACACTCACAGTTTTGTCCAAACCCATGTTTGTCATATGGTTTCAGGCAGGATATATAAAACTTAAGAGTTCTGAAATGTAATTGGAGAGATTGGCAATACTAGACAATGGTTACAATAATAACCACTATATAATAATTATTAGCATTGTAGAATAATAATTGGTGTTCAGATTGGTTTAGGGAATAGGCAACTTTAAGAAGTGATATCACACAGTTTACCAAAGCTCAGACTTAATCTGTAACATGACTTCATATATAAAATGGAACATTTCCATTCTTAAACTGTGGCTTCATAATCTCAATTCCCACTTAAAATACAATAGCTAAGCCTCTAGAAAGTGGTTATTGCTCTCAAAGAATCTATGGAAAAGTGTCCCAAGGCTGTCACAAGCTTGACATGTGATCACAGGAGGAACAAAACAACAATCCCAACAGCAAAACAGCCTGAGACAGGTGTTCACCCATCAAGGGAAATCGCCCATCCTGATATGCTAGGAAATGGGCAGGCACATCAGTGGCAATGCCTGACTGAGACTGAACACTTTCTAGCGTTCATGGAAGTGCATGGTGGGTGGGAGTAAGGACAGGCACTAGAGAAGCCTAGGCTCCACTGGAGTTGAGGCTGGCAGGACTGTAGAGAGTAATGAATAGCTTAATGGAAATATCAGGAGCAAAAAGGTGACCTGGGGGAACACGTGGACCCATTGACAGGGAATGGAGCTGGTAACTCCTAAAAGGCCTCTGCATCTTCCTGTTGTGTTAGCATTCTTGGCTCTCCACTCATTAGGGTGCAGCTGATCCTTGCTGCTACCTGACAGTCACAAGGGAAAATTTTGTGTTACTGCCATTGAAGTGAGATGGAGCATAAAACTACATCAAAAGTGGATGCAAAGGCTCAGAGTGCAAATGTGATGTAGCTCCACCCTTAGTGTTTACCAGCTTTCCCCTTATTGCTATGGCAATTATTATTTAATTTGTTCTAACACCGTTTCAGGATATCCATTTTCTGGGTTTCAAGTAAGTTTCACACTCCTGGCAAGTCATTCTTAGCCAAATGGAATAAACGCTGGCAAATGTTTTCATCAAAGGTTTACATTTGCTTTTCTTGTCAAACTGGTTTTTCTGTTCACCTCACTGTCTAGTATGACAGTCCTTAGTGAACCTGTGGCAGAAAGGGTGAGGGAAAGTCTTGTTTTAACTCAAGTATTCTTTAGCACTTTACAGGCCATCACTACTTCCTGGCATGGTTCAGGGGTCAGACAACACTTAATGACCTTCTGAGCCTAAGGTGTGTGGTGAAATTGTAACTCATGTAAAGCCTGCCATAGTTCTTCCACTCAGACAATGACTTGATTTAACCCTCTGTGGCACTTTCCCAGGTTCTTAGCTGGCATCCAACTGATGGCCCATTGCTGACAGCCTTCATTGGCTTACCTGGAGCCGTTTACCTTTCTCCCCAGGTTTGGGTACTCCCCTTTCATTTTTGCACATACTAGGCCCTTTCTGTTTGCAGTTTCCTACCTGCCCCACAGCTCCTGTGGCCAGTGCCTGACGCGCAGCCTGGCAGGAGGGCCGCTTACCCGGTCCAGGTCCTCATCCTGGAAGATGCCCTTCTCCAGGCACTTCTCAGCCACTTGCACGGTGCGCATCCTGTCCACCAGCGTGCTGTGCAGCAGCTGCACCAGGTGCGCGCAGAGGTCGTGGTCCTCCTCCTCGGCCGGCGAGGGCAGCTGGCTGAGGCTGGGGTTGGCG